AAAAACGCGGAAAGTTTACGAGCGAAAGACGCCGCGCACGCGTGCGCGTATACGTGGCTGTCGTGTCGTGCACGGTACGTCGACAATGCGCGCACACCGCGACGCGAAAAAGAACTGACACTCGAAGACGAAAGGAAGGAAGCGACGAGAGGAAGGCAGGAAGGAAGGAAGGCAGGCAGGAGGAGAGGGAAGGTTCGCCGTTGCCGGTGGAGGGGCGAGGAAGGGAGAACGGTAGCAGGATACGAGCGGATATCGGGCGTGTTTCCGAGGACAAGCGGGCGCGACGAAGACGAAGCGGCTACCGATCACGCGCACGATCTCGTGCAGTCGATTCGGTTCGGCATCGTCGCTCGAGGACCGCGTATCCTCGATCGGACGGACCGAAAGGAAACGGTGGCGGAATCGGGCGTCGCGGTTGCGAGAAACGGAGCGATACGAGGACGGAAAGAAACTCCGGAAGAGAGGAAAACACACGGAGCTGACGCGCGCACACTCGCGTCCGCTTGCGATCTGACGCTTCGGATGTTCGCTCGCGTTCGCGATCCCCTCTACTCTTCCACGCCTCGATACCAGGCCTTCGAACGTTCGCTGGCGGACAGGATCAGCAGGCAGGCGAAACGGTATCCAGTGGGCGGAGGCCGAAGACGCGAACGCCGACGCCGCGCGTCGTGCCGCGCGCACGGAGCTACGGTAGGCGGTAGACCGTCGGGCACGCCCGTAAAGGACGCCTCCTTCTTCTCCCGTGCTCTTCTTCCCTCTCCGAGCGCTCCCTATTTTCCTCTCGCCGTTTCTTCCTCCCGCTCCGCTTACCTTCTCTTTCGCGCACCCTATCGGATAACGACCTCCGCGCCGCGAACCCGAACGCGGACACTCCACGGATTTTCGATACGGCGCAAGGGATTTCCGTTTTCTCCTCTTTCTCCTTGTTTCGCGACGATATCGAAAACCGCGCAGAGCCTAGACCAGAGCAGCCGACTATGAAAAAACATCGTTCGAGCGTAATGGCGGTTTCTTCGCGATTTCTACGCGCGTGCTCGTTCTTCGTGCTCTTCATCTTTTCCGCGATACGAAACTCCGTGTTTTTTATTTTTCGAACAAACTTTTCGATACGGCCACGGTCGATCTTCTCCGTAAACGGGTCCCCACGGGTCTCCGTACAGCTCGAAATCTATGTTGCACCCGCTGCCTGGATAGTCGAAAATTACCTGCGATGTACGGTTTTGTTCGGGTTCTGTCGGTCATCGTTATTCCGAACGACGCAACGCGATCTTTTATCGGTGAGAGGCAATATCTGCTCGCAGCATCCACCCCCTTGCCGACTCTTTCCGAGTTCTCTCCTCTCTTCGTTGCTCGAGTTCTCGCAGCTTCTCTCGCAGTTTCGCGCGCATCTGCATGTGCTCCGCGGCGTCTCTCACACATACGCGTACGGCCAAGATGGCGTATACGGTACCCGTAGTACAAATTGCAGGTAATTGCAGCCCGAGGAGAGGGCTCTCCTTCTCTTCTTTCTCCTCCTTCTGGCATCGACGGAGGACGAAAGGGGCAAACGGAAGAGAGGGGCTAACCAAAGCGGAGAGCGTGTGAAACTGCGAATTTTATGATTTACAAACGCGATCCTTTATAAGGGTATATGGATCTACGCGAGGAACGAGACGAGCCGCGGCGAACGTCCGCCCTTGTGACCTCGCGGACCGACCGCGAAAGATAATTGTACGCCAGGAACCGTCTGCGACTTACTCCTGCGATTTACGATTCCGCTTCCCTTCGACGAGTCGAGGAAATACGCTATCGACCGGTCGGAAAAGGAAAGTTTGTCGGTTGCATCGTTCGACCGTGCCTATCGACGCTCCGTTTACCTGAAAACCTTCACGAGATCTCTCTCGATTTACCTGGAATTCTACGATATGGAAGCTACGATCGTTGTCTAGAATTCTATGCATAACCAACAGGAACCTACTTTCCTTACAATTTTTGCTCTGTACTCCTAAATAAGCCGAGAATTACTATCGCGAGTCGAAAAGGCAAACGACTAAAATGTACGATGGTCAGGGATTTACGTTTACAGGGTAAACTGGAAACCGATCGACCGTCGAATTTCCGACTCGGTAAGTATTTATTGTCCGTTACGGTGTTTCTTGGAAGGTCATCAGACCTGGCCAAAGTCCTTCGTAAGCTTCGTTTGTTCCAATTTAAACCGTTACGATTTCGAAAATTTTATAGGAGAACCACAAAATCCTCGCAAGGAATCGAGAAATTCGTTTTTGTTTAGTTTCCCTACGCCCCTCGTTGTTTTATGAATTACGTCGAATATAATTGTCATCTCGCTTCGCTAGTTAAATTCCATCTAACGGAAGTTACTGGGCATCCCTGCTTCTTCTCTCTCTCTCTCTCTCTCTCTCTCTCTATCTTTCTTTCGCTAGGTAGGTTCACCCAGTCTATTAGAAGCACTTAGTGACGGGTTAGTAATTACTTCGAATCGCCTCGAGTATGTATACGCAACCGAAATTTCGATCGGTTTCGAACATCGTTTAAAATTATAAATATACAAAGGAAGATTTAGGAAGTTTCGAGTCTCTCGAATATCGTTTGTTTCTACTCGAATTGCGAACCGCCCCTGCAACGCGTACGGGGCGTCGAGGGTCAGAAGCGACTCGAGAGAACATTTTGCGTTGTCGATGTTGCACCGGACACTTAAGTGCGCATAATTTATGCCAAGAAACGAGTTACGCGTGAGACTACGACTCGTCGCGACACGATGCACCCGTGTTTCCTGCATGTCCGCCCGTATGCTCGAACGCGATCGAAAAGTGGCCGAGGGTAGCGAGTTCCGTCGTATTATGGAATCCCTAAACCATACATATTTACCAAAGGGACTCGAAGATTAACCCGACTGTCCGAAATTAAACCTTGGCCAAGTTTCTGTTCGTTTATCCTCCGGTCCGTTCTCGAATACCTCTCGTTACCGACCGATTTTGCGTTATCTCGATTTCCGAATCTACCGAAAATTAATATGTCCGTAAATAGCTGCAGGATAATCGTCGAAACCTTCTCCGTTATAGAAGTTTACCGGTTCTGTCCTGTTTGTCGCGAACAACGTACTTTCGTACTAGGCTTCTTCGCAGTAGACTGGAATTATTATTGTATAGTAAAAGGCTCGGTAAATTAATTCGTACTAACTGATCGATTTGTTTCTTCTTGAATTTTCTGTGAATTTCCTTGAACGCGACAAGTCGTAATTACAAGAGGCCAAGGAACGTTCGCGGCCCCGTCCAAAGGAAGGATGTTTGAGGAGCCGCGCCTCGGGACGCGTTCTCTCGTTTCTTGGCACCTTCGATTGACAATTCTCAGGCCTGCGCCTAGTCCCACGTAATTCCAACTATTTGCTCTTCCTTTCTCCGTTCCACTCCTACGGAAACGTCGAAGACGTCTCTGTTTCCTTTTTACGCGAATCTTCGTGACGCTAAATCGTCGTCGTCGTCGTCGTCGTCGTCGTCGAGACACGAATGCTCGCGCACTCGCCTTGTAAGGACGTAAGTACCAAGAACGTTAAGTTAAAACTATTACGAGGCCTGTTCGCGCATTTATAGCCCATCCGAGTAGCGTGCATACCACCGCCATGTTGTTAGCCGCGATTAAATATTGATGCAAGAGACGGATATCCAGACTGGAAAGTTTTTCCGTTCGCGGAACCGTTTCGCTAGGGAATCCAGGACAGTGACGTCCGATTAGGGGTCGTTTGCAGAATTACTTTCGAAATTATCGATTTCTTTTCGAAAACGTTCCCGCTAATTTTAAAGGTGTTCGCTTCGATTAAAAAGCAAACGATCCTTCGATTCTAACGCGTATCGTCGAAGGAAAATCACGAATGGTCGCAAATCGGACAGAAAAGTATCCGAGTTGCCGAGGTAAATAAGTACTTGGTCCGTAGTTTTTCAAACGAACGGAGAAGTTCGCGTCTCCGCGTGGCCGACAAATGGTCGACGAGCTCGGACGCTCGTAGATTCGAACTGCTTCTGTTCGCTAATTTGCTGTTCGTCGGTGCGTGTCCATTATTGTGCAAATCGACGAGCAGATTGCGGCAAAAGGTTGACAATGGGGGGATCGTCGCGTAAAACGTTCGTAGTCCCTACGGGGTGTTGAACCACCCCATCGTTAGCGTGCCGAATCAACCGGAAATTCCAGCTTTCGTCGCTTCCGTATTCACTTCGGTTGAACGGAAGAGAGAGGAGATCCGTGAACGGTTCGAGAGGCTGAACCAGCAACTTTGCGTCCAAGAAATTAGCCAAGGCGAGATAATGCCCGGTGAACGTCTCCCGGTCTTCCTCGCTGTTGCTCGATTGTCATGAAAATATCGGTTTTATTATACGGCCTCCGAGAGAGGGAATACCGAATGTTCCCTGTTTCCAGGTAATTAGAGATCGACGGCTGCGAAGACGAACCCAAGACGACGCATGGCACCTGGACCGTCTATGCTAATTCTTTCATGTTCCCCTTGCTGCTTCTTTTTTTACTTTTCACCGAACTTTCGTCGATAATCCTTTGCCGTCGAACGACCACGATATCGTATCTTTGACGCGACCGCGTTAAAAATCGTTTTAATCCGCGTGTAACGGATAGTTCGCGACGAACAGCGAGGTTCGTTCGGGGGCGGTGGTAAGCGAGACGGAGAAGGATTGCGCCGAAACGAGACAACCGTGAGTAGATCGCTTTTAGGATCATTAATTATCCTAGGAGAGCGCGAGAACGAACAGGATACGTGGGGGTACGGGGTTTGTGCGAGAGCGAGACAGAGGGTTGGAGAGAAGGGAGAAAGGAAAGAGATGGCAGGGTGTCGGGGGAGCGGAACGAGGAGCAAAGGAGATGGCGAATGTCGCCACTGCAAACCGAAATTACCGTCGAAGATTAATGATCCTAAGCTTTATTACAGGTATTTATAGCCGTGCTCTAAAATCCTCGCGCAGTTAACCTTACGGCAATAGAAGCGGACGTGCCGATATTCGACGATTTCCGAATATTTCGAAAATTTCCATTTCTCTCGATAATATCCACTTCGTTTCGATCGGTTTCGTAATCGTTTCTACGAATCGAAATTGATTTCACCGAACGAAACGTTTCGCTGTGAAATCTGTACATAGTCGAAAGTTGCGACGAGTCAACGTTTGCGATAATTAACCGCGATTCATCGAGTCATAACGTAATCCATCGCGGGTATTTATCAATCGCGATTAATCGAACCTCTCTAAAGTCACGATCCGCTCCAACGAGAAGTTTTGCATTGGCAGAGGCATCGCGAAGTCATTAATAACCGATATACCGAGAGGTCCGTTCCTGTCTCGTGTTAATTCGACGTATCGAATCGAACGACACACGGTCGCTCGTTAATCTTCTTCCCCGATCCGTCACTCGACCGATTTATTTAAGGAACGAATACGAGCGTACGCCTCTTTCTACATATTTCTACGTGTTTGTTTCTCTTTCCTTTGTTTTGTCCCCTTCTTTTAATCAAACTTCCAAGGAGGACATTCCGGCTAAACTTAATTAGCTCCTTCTCTAGGAAGAAGCTAACCAACTAGTATCGTACGAGAAATCGGAACCGCAACGCTTTATATCGAGTTATCTTCGATAAAATTGCGATCTTTGAAACGATCAGACTTCTTAGAGATTCCATCGAACCGCGATACTTACGTTAACGAGCAAATAGATGCCACACCCCTGAACATGTCGGTAGTAGCGATTTCCTGTTTACGGCTTTTCTAAATATTTTTTTTCGCGATTACCCCTACAAATCGGGAACGAGAACATGTATTATTTCGACGTGGAAAGCAATTGGTTTTATGCGTTTCTGAGTATGCGACGAGATGTGCAACGCGAATCGTAGCACTTAGCTCGACATCGTTTTTTACGGACCATCTTTCGAAAATTGTTACAGAACGACATCGATTACCAGGTCACACCGCGTGGAGGTGGCTACGACAGTAACCCATACGAATCAAAAAGGCTTATTTCTCTACATGCAATTTCCTTACCACTGTACAGCGAAAAATTTGCATAGTGCACGTGTACATCATAAAATTATATTTACTCGCATTCACAGTTCCCCTGTGTTATCTGGGACGATTAATAATATTCAGTATTTTCGTTCAAATATTTTTACAGTAATTTTAAGACATCAATATTGAATATACCGAATGAATGCAACAGGAACAGTGTCATAATAAGCGTCTAAAAGCCCCAGAATCGATAATTAAATTTAATTGCATTTCATGGACCAAAATAGTGGCGCCATCTGTCCGGCGAAAAGGGTGAACTACACTCATCTCGAACACAGGGTTCGGTAGTTCCTGCTTTTCACCGCTAGATGGACGGCGTTTTAAAAGTCCATAAAGTGCGATAAAATTTAATTATCTGTTCTAGCGTTTTTAGGCACATATTGTGGCATTATTCTTATCATATTTTAATCGTGGATTACATTTATGATCGTATTGAAGTCCAAAAGTATCTAGTTTTTCGAAAAAATAGATTTTTTCGAAATAATCACCGAAAAAACTGATCATAAAAAGTGAGGGTCCGCACACGCATATCAGAAAAATAAAAAAATGAATATTTCGGCACTTTGACGACGTAGTATGGTTCCTGAGGCATTTAGAAACAAATTTCTATTAGGGTTTGATGCGTTTTGATGCCTAATAAAGCCAGGAAATCAATTTCTGTCGAATTCGGTCGAAAACGGTACAGGTGGCGCCATCTAGCGGCGAGCGGCGGAACTACGAAACACTAAAATTTCGATTTTCTCGAAAACTAGGGACTTTTCCGAAATTCTGAGATATACGAATTCTTCCTTGTCGCCTACGGAATCGAACGAATCTAATTATAGCCGGCTAGGACCATTATTAAAGAAAATAGAAAAATAGCCCATTTCATGGACTAAAAAATTGCCGTCCATCTAGCGGTGAAAGTTGGAACTACAAAAATAGAAAAATGCGATTTTCTCGAAAATTAGCGAACTTTAAGTACTTCTCAGAGTCAGAAAGTGTTATGTGATCGCATTGGAAGCAAAATAATGCAATAAAAGCTTCCTAAAGGATTTAATAAAGAAAATAAAAAAAATGTCATTTTATGGAGAAAATTTGTGGCGCCATCTAGCGGCGAAACTGCGAACTAAACTGAAAAACCGTATGTCCGTACACGCGTTAACGAAAAATATAAAAAGTAACATTTCGCAACTTTGACGACGCAGTATGCTTCTTTAGACTTTCTAAAGCAATTTTTGTTCAATAAGTTATTCATTTTTTTGCCTATTAAGCCCAGAAAATCAATTTTTATTTGACCCTTTACTGCGTGTTTGGACATACGTTTTTCAATTTAGTTCGCGGTTTCGCCGCTAGATGGCGCCACAAATTTTCTCCATAAAATGACATTTTTTTTATTTTCTTTATTAAATCCTTTAGGAAGCTTTTATTGCATTATTTTGCTTCCAATGCGATCACATAACACTTTCTGACTCTGAGAAGTACTTAAAGTTCGCTAATTTTCGAGAAAATCGCATTTTTCTATTTTTGTAGTTCCAACTTTCACCGCTAGATGGACGGCAATTTTTTAGTCCACGAAATGGGCTATTTTTCTATTTTCTTTAATAATGGTCCTAGCCGGCTATAATTAGATTCGTTCGATTCCGTAGGCGACAAGGAA